TCATACAGGCTTGGTCCTTAGCACAGATGTTGTAAAGGGAATAGAATTGGTTGTGGCAGATGTGTATCCTGGAGTAGAGCATAGAGAATGTATGAGGCACTTATGGAAGAACATGAAGAAAAGTTACAGTGGTGATCTTTATGGCAAGAATATGTGGTGTGCCGCCAAGCGCTTCATAATTTCAAAGTTCAACTACTTCATTAGGAAAATAGAGGAGAAGGATCCTAAAGCCATTGAATGGTTGGATGAAAACCATCCATATGTGTGGAGTAGAAGCAAATTCAGTGAAGACTGCAAGGTAGATTACATCAATAACAACCTCTCCGAGTCTTTTAATAGTTGGGTGTCAAAAACTAAGAACTTCCATATTGTAGAAATGCTTGACCATATTAGACAAATGATCATTAAGAAGTTTGTTTTGAGGTCCAAGAGTGGTAGTAATATGTCAGGCATTATAATCCCAGCTATTATCAATGATTTGAACGCTAAAACGAAGACTATCAAAGATCATGAGGTTCTCGTATGTGGGTCTGGGAAAGCTGAAGTAACTGTGAATAGATTCAAGCATGCAGTCAACTTGGAGGAAAAGACTTATAGCTGTCAGGCTTGGCAAGTGACTGGAAAACCATGCAGCTATGCTTTGACTTTCATTGCAAAGATCAGTAGGGAGGTACAAATGGATAAATTTGTCCATGAATACTTCTCTGCTGATAGGTATAGAAAGGCATATGCAAGTAAATTTAATCCAATGACATCCAAAAATCAATGGTCCCATGTTGACTTAGGCTACAAAATCAACAAACCCAAATTGAGGAGGAAACCTGGGACGCCAAAAAAATCTAGGATCAAGCCATTTAATGAAGTTGACACTAGCAAGAAAAGAAAGATGTGTTCGGAATGCAATGAACTAGGCTATACAGCCAAGACTTGCCAAGGAGGTCCTACAACTAGTCAAAAGACGAGGCAGTCAACACCACAAGATGGATCAGGACAAGGAAGCAATGGCCCAATGTGAGTCATACATGCATTGCTGTCCAATTCCATTTATTTAGCCCAATTATTCATATTTACTTGTAATAACAATTCTTCGAATGAACATTTAGTGCAAGTACAAGTGCTAGTGCAAATGGTACTGTAACTAGAAGGGGAAGGGGAAGAGGAAGGGGTTCAGCAGAGGACAACAATGAGACAATGTATGTGATTCATGGCTGCTATTCGTTACTATTTTTCTAGCAAATTTCAGCGTTGCCACCTATATTAACTTGCTTTTACTCTATTCTTGTTAAGTGCAAGTGGTACAGAGCAGAAGGGGAAGAGGAAGGGGGAGGGGAAGGGGAAGGGGAAAGGGAAGAGAAAGGGGAAGAGGGTTAGGAGAGGCCAGAAATGAAATAAAGTAAGGCATAGCACCTTTACTTCTTTTTACTACATATTTTAGTAACTTTACTAACATAATTATGCTCCTTTTTCATACAAAGTGCAAGTGCTTCAGGAAGGGGAACATGAAGAAGCGGGATAGGAGCAACTTCTGGGAGGCTTGCTACTTTGTTGGGTTTCAATGCTTGATATGTAGCTCACTACTAGTTGTCTAGAAAACTCACTACTAGTTTCTACTTTTGTTTCACATGTCATTTGGTGTTTCACATGTTATTTGGATCTCTGTGTTGGTGATTGACATGTTATTTGGACCACTATGTTGGCATCTAATATGGTACTGTGATGGCATGTTATATGGATCTGGTTTGTTGCCGTTAATGCAATATGTGTGAAATTAATTTGTTGTGTGATATTAAATTCTATTTATATGGATTGTCCGCAGAAATGTTGTCGATTTTTTCTAAAAAATATGTATACAAAATATCAACTTGCTGATCTAAAACAAGGGTAAAAACACAAATAGCATAATAAAACAGGGGTAAAAACGCATGGGCAAAGTTGTCCTTTTTGTCCAAAAGTTAACACCGTTATAGGGGCTTAACAGACCAGGGGTAGAGTCTCCCTTCGTTTTGAAAAAGCAGAGGTAAAATCACAAAGTTAAAAAAACACGAGGGTAAAATCACCATTTTGCTTAAAAACAACGATAAAAACGCTTAAGCCCCAAAGAAAATTATGACCTGCAGCTTTGTGTGCATACTATCTATTTTGATTTTATTTTGAGTTATAATGCTTATTCATGGATTTTAAATCTGACCTGCAGCCTTATGTTCACTGAAAATTGTGACCTGCAACTTTGTGTGTGTGCTATCTATTTTGAATTATAATGCTTGTTCATGGATTTTAAATCTGACCTGCGACTTCTTGACTTATAGGTTCATACAAAGAAGCGCAACATGCTATTTCATGAATGGATCAGAGATCTTATGTTTGTTAAATTTAAGTCTATGTTTGGGAATAAGAGAGAGAACGAGGGCAGAGATCTTGTAAAGAAGGAAGTAGATGATGTTGTGGTAGTCTAGCAGACGATGATAATGAACTCATTATTGTATTGTGCCTTTACCAAGTAAATGGAACAACAATGTACGTGCACAGCATGAAGCACCACAAGAGTCACAGCAACACACAACATTACAAGCACAAGCTAAAAGGAAAAGGCATGTGCGCCCTAGGAAGAAACTCAGGAGCCTGCAATCTTTGATGTGTGATGTCCCAATGCAACCTGAAGCTTCATCATCCGACTCAGAAGATGGTGATGACAGTATTCCAATGCAGTCTTCTTCTGATTTTGATAAGTCTTCCTATGTCTCTGAGTCTGATGAGTAGAAGAACAAATCAAGACTGCACTATTGCCTCATATTTAGAGATACAGTCATATAAGTATTTTAGTATCCAGAACAACTGATGACCTTTATGTTGTCTTTACCTCTATGGTTTATGTTTGTTTTCTAAATGTTGTACTCTTGTGGTCCGTAAAACTGATGTTTGAATATTTTAGCCTGTGATATACTCTTGTGAACTGGTTATGAATCAGTTAGTGATGGTTATCAAATTATGCCAAGGTTACGTGTGTGTTTTCTATTTCATTTTTTTAGAAAAAAACAGCTAAATAGCTTGGCTGCACCGGTTATAGTTGTGTTTAGCTGTTGATGAGGACAACTCCTAGGAGGCTTATCCGAAGATTTAAATAAAACATTCTTTAAAAAAAGATTTAAATAAAACACTGAAAAATATATATTCTATTCTAGTCCTAGACTACTTGGTTGTTCGTGCCTGATGATCCTGGAAGGTCGTTTGCTCTATGTATGTGCATGTACTAGTTCCGATCCTGCATACGTTTAACCATCGAGGATCCAGTCCAGTAAAATCCATGTTTATATCACAAGCGCAGCAATAACATGAACCATGCATCTCCTCATCGCCTTGATCATCGCTTAACTATCGATCCCCCTCAAATTAGTTAATATAAGAGCTATCTCGATCTCCCTCGCTCGATCTAATTTGCATATGTGTATATATATACATATATGTGTAGACTGTAGCTTTAATTTGTTCTAGCAAGTTGTTAGTTTTGATAAATCAAATCATGGCCTGCGCGGCGGTCGGCCACCGACGGAGGAGTCGGTGCTGTAGTCCGAGGTATAGTCGCCGTACTCGCCGCTGTCGAAGGCGATCTGCCTAAAGCGGGAGATGTTGTCGGAGCCACCGCCGGAGAAGAGCACGCTCTGCCCCGGCTTGACGCCGTCCTGGTGCAGATCCTCCAGCGACGCGTCGCCCTCCAGCGCGCGCACGATCTGGCTCATCTTGGGGCGGCGCTTGGCCGAGTGGCGGGTACTGGCGGCGGCGCAGGCCGCCAAGCGCTCCACCTCCACGGCCGAGTACTCGCCTCCCAGGCGGGGGTCGACGAGCTCGGCGAAGCCCGTCTCCCCCGCCAGCGCGGCGCCCAGCAGCGGGCGCGCCCAGTCCACGAGGCTGTCCTCCATGTAGTTGGTGGTGTCGATGGGGCGGCGCCCCGTGAGCAGCTCCAGCAGCATGACGCCGAAGGAGAAGACGTCCGACCTGTCCGTGAGCTTCCCGCTGGACGCGTACTCCGGCGCCAGGTAGCCGAAGGTGCCCATCACGCGCGTGGACACGTGCGTGTTGGTGTCCGTGGTGAGCTTGGCCAGCCCGAAGTCCGCCACCATGGCCTCGAAGTTGTTGTCCAGCAGGATGTTGGCCGCCTTGATGTCGCGGTGGATGATCCGAGGATGGCAGTCCTCGTGGAGGTAGGCGAGGCCCTTGGCGGAGCCGAGCGCGATCTTCATGCGGGTGTTCCAGTCCATGACGGGCCCGTCCTTGGCATACAGGTGGTGCTCCAGCGTGTTGTTGGCCACGAACTCGTAGACGAGCATGCGCTGGTTGCCGGCCATGCAGTAGCCGACGAGCGACACCAGGTGGCGGTGGTGCACGCGGCTGATGATCTCCACCTCCGCCTGGAACTCGCGCTCCCCCTGCCCGCTGCCGGACTTGAGCTGCTTCACCGCCACCTCCTTCCCGCTGCCGGCGAGCACGCCCTTGTACACGTACCCGAACCCGCCCTGCCCCAGCATGTTCGCCGACGAGAAGCCCGACGTCGCCGCCGCGAGCTCCTCGTACGAGAAGGAGCTCTTGGAGAACCCCAGCGCCACGTTCGGTGAAGGTGGAGGGAGGGGAGGGCCGTGGGGGCCGGACGAGTACATCTCGCCGCTCAGGGGCGCCGCCATCGAGCCCGGTGATGGCGACAGCGGGTTCCCGCCGCCGTGGTGCCATCCCGGCGGAGGAGGGATGCTGCCGTTGCTGCCATATTGCTGCCACATGGGCGGCAGACCAGCGTTGGGGTAATACACATTGCCTGCATTTATGCATCAATTAATCAACAGTTTATTAGTTGTGTGTAACATATATATAAGCAAACAAACAATAACACTATTATTATGCCATGATTATATTATTGTACACGATCGACGTCACCTTTCTCGTCGGTGTAGAAGGGCATGTTCATTGGGGGCGGACGTTTCTTCTTCTTCTTGGCGCAGCACACGCACGCCACGATGGACAACAACAGGGCAAAGCCCACCACCCCAAGCACCACGCCGGTGATCACGGCGCTTGTATTATCTGACGATGACGACGAAGATGACTTCTTCTTCCCATCTTTAGAGCTAGAAGAGGCACTAGCACTTTTTCTCGGTGGTGGCGGTGAGAGTGGCGATGATTTCGATGCGGGAGATGAAGTCGATTCACCCTTTGGTGGCGAGGGTGAGTTTGTAGATGATTTCGGTGCCGAAGCCGATGCTTGTGATGGTGGCAACTGCTTGGACCTTGATGGCGAAGACTGTGGGGTGGAGGCCATTTATTGGTTTGATCTTGTAGACCGAGGAGGATGGAGCTCTTCCTGCAAATGGGGAGAACTCCACCCCCTTGACCTAAAAGCACTATACCTATGTATATATTGCTAAAATATATAGCTAAGAGTTTTTAGCTCTTAGTTGTGCTCTGACACCCTGCAAGACGAAATTGAGGGAAAATGTTACAGGTCAATGAACTGGCACAAGGTGCAACAATGTTTTTAGATTATTGCATCTCAAATTTGTTGCCAACTGAAGAAAAGGTAATGAAAGGAATTGCTGCAACATTACAAGAGAAATGCATGGTTACATCCATGTCTTCTTTATGGAGTGTACATGTGCTCTCATGAAATTGACGATTAGGCAATACTCACAACCTACCCCAAATAACAATTTGTAATGCCCTACATGTTGTCATAGGCATTACAATCATATGTATACAAAGTAGAACGAGTTAGGACATGAACAAACAAATGAACAACAAGAGCTAGAGATCACATAAGGAAATCCCTAAGCTCTTAGAAAACTAATGTTCAAGAAAGAAACGAAACCACAAATTGAGTGCACGCCTATGCATGTGAAAAAAAGATTTACTGCACAAAACTCCAAATGAATCCCAAACAAGTCAACAAAGAACGAGTTGAATCATGAATTCGTATGAACTTGATTAATCTGCTCTGCAGGTAGATATGTAGAATTAATATTGTGTACCTTTTCCTTTTCCCTGCAGGTGATTAAGTGAGGAGGGAGAAGGAGAAAGGGGTCAAAGGTGGAATGGGGGCGACAGAGAATGAGGGAAGAAGGCATCACGCGCATCTTCCGTGGCGGCCATTCAACTACCGCCACATCTATCTCCTTTTATCTCCCATTTTTAGCCACCACTCCAAATAAAACCCACGCATCCCTGCATGTAGGTGCTATGAGATAATTGGTAATCATCGAGGTGTTGAAATAAACATGTGTACGTTCTTATGACCAAAGAGAGGGAGGGATGAATTGGGTCACTTAAAACTAATCTAGGATCTTCTACAAATTTTGCTCATCAAGATGTATAGGCAAACATTCTATATAAATGTGCAACTAAAGTTTACCTAGTGTTTTTAGTCACCTCAAAGAGTTTTGCACTCAAGAGTTGGACCTTAAGAGTCGCCTCAAGATAAGCAAACATTGTATACAAATGTGAAAAGCAAATTTGAGCAAGAGATGTGCAAACACATGGGGCAAAAGATTTATCTCGTGATATTGGTAGATAATCCACTACCCTGGTCCATTGAGTATCTACCATGGAGCTCCACCAAGGATATGCTCCTAGCCATCAAGTCTCTATGGATCAAGTTCTTGGATTCACCACAAAAGGCTCCCACCAAGATAAATAGGCCAAGTGCCACAATGGTAAGCATAACCTCATCCTTGTTTTAGGTCACCTTGATGTTGTGTCCACTAGCTAGAGAGCTTCTTCACTAAGGAAGGGTCTCCTCATCAAAAAAATATCATCAATGCTCCACGCCAAATAGGTCGTTCAACAAACATGCCTTGAATCACCGACAACTCGAGAGCTCTCACTCTCCCCTAGGCCAATAGCACTAATCAGTCGCTAATGGACTTAACATATGTGCTAATATTTTGCCTCGAATTGACCACTTAGCAATTTTGTGGCTAGAATGTACGCTCAAGTAGAATCACTTATCTAGTCTTTAATGGACTCTTGCAATCTCAATGCCCAAGGGCTATGGTATAATAGGCTCAACAACCCCAGCAACCATTGCCTAACAACTGAAGATAACTACACTCACTGGTTGATTTGGTGTACCACATTTGTACTAATCAGATCATCCGATATATACGCTTTGCCTCCACTATCCATTACAGCCCGTTTGGATGTAGATATCCAGGGCTTGGAATTGGAATTGGCTATCTCTGAATATAGCTGTTTGGATGGTTTGGAATTCGGAATTGGTATTCATCCCCAATGCCAACTGGTATTCACCAAGTCTGTGCTCCCTCATAAGCTCTCCCCCTCTGTATTGGGTGGAATTGAACTCATCCTCAGACACCCTGTTCCCGAGCGCGCGAGGCGGGCGGGCGGTCAGCGGCACGAGCGCGCGTGACGCCGGTGGCGGCACGGGCCTATCTTCCCCGTGGCCGGTGGCGGCGTGAGCCAGTCTTCCCCATGGCCGACGGTGGCATGAGCTCATCTTCCCCGTGCCCGTCTACGTGAGCCTGTCATCCCCGTGGCCGGCGACGGCGCGAGCCCGTCTTCCCCATGGCAGGTGGCGATGCGAGCCCATCTTCCCCATGGCCGGCGGCATGAGCTCGCCTTCGTCTTCCCCGTGGCCAGCGGCCCAAAGCAGCCATCGGGGCTTCGCCGCGAGATCTGAGTTCCGTACTCATGCCATCAGGGTTCTGTACTTCTGCAACATACGTACATGCCATCGAGGTTTCATACTTCCATGACAGTGCGACCTACTGGTGGCTCCGTCCTTTGTCCTCCGGTGGTGGAGCTAGGATGTGGGTCAAGCTTCCCTAACATTTCGATTCACTGCTTTTGCATCCAAACATAAATCGAATTTGAGCTACTTCCTAAGATTTCATAAGCCATTCAATGGTCATCCAAACAATATTATTCGAATTGTGTCCATTTCAATACCATGGCTACTTTGGTATTGAAGCCAATTCAATTCTAGCTCCCTAAATATCTACATCCAAACGGACCCTTAGACACATTGGTCCTAGCCACTATTCATCATTGTAGTCAATATTCCGATGCTTACATTTTCTATCTTTTGTTTCCTTACTTTGCTATTGTTACACTCTATTGTGCAATACTCTAGTGCATCTGTTTCTTGAAGCACCAGACTTTCTAGTTCGTTCTTTTATCCTTTATTCTCAACAACACAAAACTGGTGTTTTTACTTTCTCCTCACCATATCTTCTAGTTAGGTCATGTTCATCTGAATCTTCCTTGATTTTTCTTCCTTCTTCATCAATTTTTTATCGCTTATTTTGACTTTGCATCCTTAGGACCTACTCCCTCCGTCTCAGGATATAAGGCATGCACATATTTCAAAATTCAAACTTCGTTATCTTTGACCAATAATTAGTCTAATAATATAAAAAATTTATAGTACAATAGTTGTAACATTAGATTTGTCTTTGCAATTACTTTCTAATGCTACTTCTGTTGTTACCATTAATTATATACATAAGAGTATAAATTAACAGTTAAAGTATGATTTCAAAGACCGCACCAAGTCAAATCGCGCCTTCTATCTTGAGACGGAGGGAGTATAATCCTTATATCTTTGCCCCCTTGTTGAGCAAGGAGGTATTTGAAACCTCTAAATTCCTTTGCTTTGCTAGGAAAACTGGTCCTCCCAAAAAGACCACCTCTCCTATGCAAATAATAAGGCTGCTCATCAAAACAATTCTTCTCCCTCTTTGAGTTAAGGCTACTAGCTAGCTGCCAAATTGAGCACCGACAACTACTTGGAAGCGATGGTCCACAAAATCGAGTGTTGACAAAAGAGATACATCGATGCAATCCATGAATCAAGTGGCATCAACAACCTCGAAAAAGTTAACAGTATTAGGTCATGAAATCAAGAGGCAGTCGAGAAGAGATCCACAATGCCGAGCTTCAACATCAATTGACATCAACAGCCTTAACAAAGGAAATGGCTGGAAGGCTATTGTTGGTAAACCTCAATGCACACAAATTTTGTAATAATTATCACAAGCACAAAATATGTTGTAGTTTTTCTAGTTTTATATCACACAAAAGGGTCATTTGTGATATTTTGTGATATAAACCTAGTTTTATAACAATTACCACAGCACACCCCAAAGGGGTGTGTTATTTTGTGATATCACACGAAGGCACATTGAATGGTTGTATCCAATAGCTCCTAGGTTTATATCACACGAAAGCATACAATAACTAAGATGCAATTAAGTAAACAAGCATAGTTAAGTAAACAAGCATAGTTAAGATTTAACATAAGGTGCCAGATTCCCATACAAAGGATCGAGCTCCCATTCTACACTTCCTGATGGAATATTTTAATGAGGCAGAGATGTTAAGGCTAAACTTCGGCATTGGTTTTATCAAAAGCATAGAGGCTGATACAATGGCAAGCAAGGAAACCAAGCATTCTTATTTTTCTTACCTTACCTTTTGCCTAGCTAGCCTATGCTTGAACATGCCATATGCCCGCAGCCAAAATCACTTAGGGCGCGTTTGGTTCGTTGGTGAGTGCAGCCTGGCTCGCATCTGGGAACCAGGCTCCCGTAGGACAGGCTGTGGAGATACAAGCTATTGTTGTTTGGTTGTCTGTATGTATAGAACCCGACTGAGAAGAGATCACGTTTGTTTGCCAGCATGAAGCCATATCGCATGAAATAAAAATAAAAAAACAAGTGATCTTATAATATTTAACTTGTGTAACTACACTCTAATAGTTTCAATTTGACTTTTAATATCTTAATCTATTTTAAAATACACTGATCTATACTATAAAGGAGCGAAGAAATTGAAAATTATCTATCACCAAAAAACTTCCTGCCCACCATAAATCTCATCCCTTAGATTATGTATCTAACACATGTTAATCACATGCTAATAGTATCGTTAACAGAACCCTGTGCCGCGCCATGCAAGCCTGGCTCGCCAGAAACGTAAATGAAATCCGTATCTGGATAGCCCCAGGCTCTAGGCTGCCTTTTGCATCTGGAGAGCCAAGCTCAGACCTCAATACGAACAACCAAACACCCGAACTTGCATTTGGGGAGCCTGGCTGGTCAACAACCAGGCAACCAAAAGCCCCCTTATAGCATGTTTAGTTGCCTGGTGAGGGGCTGGAACCAGGCTCCAGCTAGACAACTGCACAAATGCAAACAACCCTTGTTTGGTTGACAGAATCCAGAAAATCAGGTTGATTAGAGCGCTTGTTGGGTTGCCTGTGCTAGAATATGCTTGTTTACACCAGAATTTGGAAGAAGGATCTCAGAAGCTCGAGCGCTCCTAAAATCATGTCAGCAAGGGATCAATTGCGTGCAGATCAAAACCAACTGTTTCGGATGTAGCACTAGAATCGGCTTTATTCAGATAACGC